TATTGTTTCATATGGATATTGTATGGTTTAGGCCTGTGTTGGTTTGTTTTGCATTTTCAGTTGGAAAAAATGCCTGTTTTAATAGGAAGACAATTTTCCTTTGTGTCAATTTTCAGTTGATTTCAGTCCTTCCTGTTTCTTTAATACATCATAACCCTCAATCCTCCTAAGCCTTTGAAATAAATCAAAGTGCCTTACTCAGTCATAGATTTGTGAGATGATTCACAGAGTTGTCTAAGGTGACTCTCAAAATCTTGAGGAAGGATTCAGTGTTACCTACAAGCTGCCTGTGTGCCTCCCAGCTATACAGTTGGTCCAATAAAAGATATCATCCACAAAAATCTTTGTCTCTTGCATTTTTCCAGGACCATCATGGCTATAATGTCACCAGAATATTACTCACTCATGTAAACTGAAAGGTGCATCTGATAGAAAGGACAGATATTGATGATCAGAACAGTTTATCCTGCTTGTGGCCATCTGCAAATGTTTAAATATATAGAATTCATGGTAAAGCTACCACAAAATTTAGAACATCAGGTGTTTTCTATATCAGGAGAGAAGTTCATTGACAAAGCTGACCTATTTAATGACTAGCTAACCTATTTAACTACTTCTTTGCCTCCACTTTCCTGAGCAGGGACCGGATCAGCCCACCCACTGGGCCCCCCTCAGGCCCCAGGGGAGACGCACCTAGGCCAAGGGTCAGTGAGGATCTAGGCAGGGAACTTCTGGAGGGACTGGATGTATTTAAATCAGCTGGTCCGGACAATCTCCACCCCAGAGTGCTGAGGGAATTAGCTGAGGTCATTGCAGGACCCCTGGCACGGCTTTACAAGCACTCATGGTGCTCTGGTGCGGTGCCAGAGGACTGGAAAGAGGGCCAATGTGGTTCCCATCTTCAAAAAAGGGAGGAAGGAGGACCTGGGAAACTATAGGCCAGTTAGTCTTACCTCAATCCTGGGTAAGCTTTTTGAGAGAATTATTCTAGCACATGTCCACAAGGGGCCAGCAGGGGAGATTATGCTTAGGGGCAACCAACACAGGTTCATTAGCGGCAGGTCCTGTCAGACCAACCTGGTGGCCTTCTACGACCAGGTCACCAAATCCTTAGCTGCAGGGGTAGCAGTGGACGTAGTCTTTCTGGACTTTAGGAACGCCTTCGACA